CTAGGCCCATGCAACTCGACCGGTATGATCTTTAAATATGCACATGCCAGTGCATTTACTGTACTAACAGTTGTAATCTGAGCATCTTTACCCCCCTCGTCCCCTTGTGGCGAGGTATTTTCATTGGGGTATCGGTGTAGCATTCGATGATGTGACATTCTACATCCTTCTACACCACATTTTTTCGCTTTGCACTCTAACCTCCTATGGTTAGGTGACAAACATTGGAATCTCGCGAATATTCATGTCCTTAAACTTGTAACAACTCACTATAGAGTGCTCCTTGTTGCATATAACACACTTATGTGTTACCCGACTTACAGGCTTGTCCTGGGTTATCATAACCACTTGTCGGTTGTGCCTTTTATTATTTCGGCGTTCTAAACGCTCGCTCATATTACTTCGGCGCATATAGCGCTCGCTCTCGGCACAGCTGCGTACACCTCCCTTTGCAGTGTGTACAGTTTGCTTCCTGAATTCAGGACGCTTCCTTTTTTCAGGCGCATTTTCATTGCTTAAGGACGTTCCAAATTGTTCACTCAATAAATTTAAAAACTTGGCCATCTTCTGTAACTCTGGCTCCAAAGGATATTGAGCTCGATATTCAAACCATTTAAATTTAATCATAGTTCCAAGTTTCTCCACTATGCGGCTCACTAACTCCGGTGAGTATAAATACTGTGGTTGATTCAACGCTTGTATTGTGGCAACCACGTTCGTAATACGACTTGCAAAAGATCCTATATTTCGGCAATCTTCTGCCAATCTTGGCATACGCTTTACATTCTCGATTTCGGCTAGAATGAGCATCTCAACCCTACCGAATCTTCTTTCGAGAGCGTTCATTATTTCTTCAGGTTCACACAAAGTAAATAACAATGACTTAACCGCCTCTTTAGCGGTGCCCTTTAATGCCCTCCTAAGGCGTGCGACATTTTGCACCCCTGAAAATTGGCCTTTTGTGTCTTCAAACACCGTTTTGAAAATTATCCATTCACCCGGGTCTCCATCGAACACCGGTAATTCCTGGAGGAAATGAAGCTGGGAAGACTTATCTTTACCAGCTATTTTTATTGCACTCACAATCGCTTCGGTCAATTCTGACACCTCACTCGCGTGTGTTTTCTGTGCATTTCCTAGGTTGCGCTCGACCTCCGCCCCTTTGCGGCGTGATCCTTTACACGCTTCCTTATCAGTAATATCGGGTTGTGCTACACTAACCGGCGCGCTCATTATGGTTTGCTGAACCCAACTCCTTACGAAAGGTTCCACCTGAGTATTCCGCTCTTCATCATCCTCACTCGAGTCGATTTCCTCTTCTCGGTTGAGTCGTGCCAACTCCAATTGAGACTTGGCTAAGGCAGCAGCTGCCTGTGCTCGTTCGAGCTCTGAGCGTTCGAATTTAATCCGCGCCTCTAATTCGGCTTTCAGCCTCGCCGATCGCGATGACCTACTACCTCTCTGTGACCCTTTATCACTAGTGTGCCCGATTACTGTCCTTGACGATGCCGCTTCTTCGGTCCTTTGACCTACTTTTTCGACCACCGTTTCACTCCTGGATATAACGGATTGTTGTGCGGTGCTGGCCTGTGTACCACTGGTGTCCGTCCGGTTGCTTGTCGTTGCTATGGACGTCCCTGAGTCCCACGTGCATGTGGACGTGTCTGTGGTGGCTCCACTTGAAGGAGTTGCCGCATTTGACGCAGTAGCTGTGGTCGCTCCAGATGATTCCGCTTCTTTAGCTTTTCTTGAGAGCCCTGTCCTTGTCCTGCTCCCTTCGCTTCTCCCTGTCTGGTCTTGTGCCTTCTTCATCTTGCAGGAAGGTGATTGTTGTCCTACGGTCCCTACAACCCCTTACCTACAACCCTTCTACACCCCAACCTAACACCACTACCCCTCCCCCCTTTATCTCCCAACCCTACAACCCTACTACCACCCTAACAGCCCTATCAGCCCTATCAATCCTGAACGGGGCCTACCGAGGTGAGCCGTCCAGGGATGGAGTCGTGCAGGAATGGAATGGAGGAAAGGTTTAGGAACTGTCCCGCCAAGGAATATGACGAAACAGTCGAGCGGTAGTGCAAGCGCAGTCTCGCTCGAGAGAACTGCTCCACCCGAAGGTGTTATGCCAGAGCCCAACCGTTTGGCACCGTTAGGTGGTCGGGATGTATGCTGTGCTCGCCGCCCAGTTGCCGGTGACGCCTCGTCCAAGCGCCCTCCTCCGGCCGCGATGCAGTCAGGTGCCCACGCGCACCCTCGCCCGTCAGCAGCAGCGGTGGATGCTTTTGCACCCTGATGACCCGACGGGAAATGCCGGACACGGTCGTCCGACAGGAAATGCCAGACACGATCGTCTGACAGGAAATGCCAGACACGATCGTCTGACAGGAAATGCCGAGCACGCTTGCCCGACAGGAAAAATGCCAAGCCCTGCTTGGCCACGATGAGTGCCTTCACAAGACACCTGCGCCCGGCTGCGATATGTGCCCCATGCGAGCACACGCCCCAAGCTGCAATCCCGGTTTTCTTTCTTCCGGTAGTTCCAGGTCCAGCCCTTCAGTGCTGCCGTCCTGGTCTTCAGGCCTTTGGTCCTATTGCTTCAGCTCAAACCTCTGGCTTCCTTCGGTTGCTGATCTTCACTCGGCTTCCGAAGGTCTTCTTCTTCCACAACCAGCAGTCCACAGCTGGTTCCTTGATCCAGCTGGCGGGGTTCGGGTGGTCTTCAATCCGGCTCGAAGGACCAATTGAAAAGGACCAGGTCGGTGTCCCTCTTGATCCTGAAAAGGACCAATTGAAAAGGACCTAGCGGATCGGGTACTAAGAAACAGGAATCGAGGCTTCTCTCGATCCGGCCTCCTATCACGCCTACGTTGGGTTCGGGAACAACGTATGTGATCTCCGCAACGGAGTAACACACTAGGGCGATAACCTCTTCCTTTTCAGCAAGTAGGTTCAGACGGGGATTACGGGTCTTCCGAAGTCGTCCCGGTCCCGACGCCTTAATTCTTCGATGTGGACTGTATAACTTAAAGGATCTTGGGAATGAAACAGCAATTATCTTCAAACCGTTCCGTGAGAGAGTAATCACTTTTCCCTATCACTTCCCTACACTTTTTCTTTCTTGACTGCTGGTTTTGCACTTTTCCCGAAGGATTTTCGTACTTTCCCGAAGGATTCCCGAACTTCCCGAACGAATTGCAATAAAATCAATTTACTATCCTACCCCTAAGCTAAACGCGAAAGTGAGCCGCGCCATCTGCGCGCTTGCGCAACTTAATTACATGAATTTGTACTATTACTCTCTCACGTTTCACTCAATATCTTTATTTATTCAAATCATATACAAATACAATTTATCAATATAGGTAGTACAAAACAATATCTACACCATGATATACATCATATCTTCATATCATAAAAAACCTTTTATTTATTAAACGAAAACTGCCTATTTTACTCACAAGTTCGAAATCGAAATTTCTTAAATATTTAACACAGAAAGTTAAAACAATGTTTCTCACTTGAATTTATATATAAGCTAACCAATACAATAGTTTAATTTACATTTTTTCTATTTATTTCACTATTTAAAACACCTTTAAATTTCTTATACAAAACTATCATTATTTCACTTATACACAGGAATTTTCACATGAAAATAACACAGAATTTACCTTTTTTAGCACGTACAATTAACCTGAAATATTTTACAAGTAATTTTTACATAAATCACTGAATTACAAACATTTTAAATTTTTACATATTCGGCCTCCTAAGGGCGTGGCCAGCGTGCTTCCGTGTACTCACGCTATGTGAACAACTAACTTTGCACGGCTCTCGGCTATCAGAAAAAATTAAATTATGAAATACACCAATTTTGACCATATTAGGCAAATTAAATGCTTTTATACAATTTTCGAACTGTATGAAACTATCTTTAATCAGATAACAATATAAATGAATGTTCTCATTAATCAATCATAACAAATAGGCATTTGTTTTCGTACAAAACGTATCAAACTTATACAAAACAACATTTATGCAATTAATATCCATTAATTCTGCCTATGCACAGAGTGATTATCTCGACCGGGGAACAAATCCGATCTTTAAACTTCACTTTAATATTCTTATGAATTTACATCATTTGAAAGATGATTTCAACCGGGGAACAAATCCGGTAACATAATTTATATCTTAAATTCCTTACGAATTTATTAAGCGATATTACTTAGGAAAACAAACAAACTAGTCCGGCCTGGGAGTCGAACCCAAGACCTTCATATCATTAATTCGACATTTCTTAAAGATTTAACTAAGCATTCTCTTATCAGAGCGTCGTTGCTCGTGACTGCCCCTTTTTTCATAGCAACGTCATCGGTTGATTTAATAAACTGAAACATTTTTATAGGCGCGTCGCCAACAGATGTAGATATCTATGGGTCACAGCTACCACTTACCATCAAGTTGACACACAAAAAATGAAAATCACCTAATAATCCATTTTGGATGTACGAGTATTGTACGTTTTGCTAAAGTTGAAGTTATACCAGTAGTATTCGTAACTGATACTTCTAGAAGCCGCAAAATTGAAGAAGCACTGCGTCTTTGCAACTATGACATACTTGAGATCATATGATAGAATCTGTTACACGTAGCGGAGCCACAGAGGGGTCGTCTCGACGACAGAAGGGCCACGCTCTTATATAGTACTAGCGTAAAATAGCGGAATAGTGTTATTGCGTATTTTTTTCGTATGGTAAATGACGCGAATTGAAGAATCTTTTTACTGGTCAGAGTTCGTCCGTCCTTTCATCCAATCACCTTAATCCTCAAAAGTTACAACGTACTCTGCATTTTGATTCTTAATTATCGATTAAGAATAGAATAGGATCGAGACTACAAGAAGGTAATCAGTGGCTGGATAACGACAAAACTTGACATTTAGGTGGGAAATTTTACTAGCGACCATTTTTAAACGATGTTTGCGTTCTTCACAGGTCTCGGGTATAGCAGCGTGCGCAGCGTCAGTGCGTCACTGCCGCAAGGAAATCGTTCGAGCCGCTACCGCCGTGCTACTTGTACGTATGCTGTGTAATTTAAAAAATTCTAGTATAGTGTAAAAGTTAAAGATTCCTTAAATCAAGACGAACATTACACATTGAATTTAACTAATTTTACGGATTTTATCGCGTTTAATTTAGCTCAGTCAAGGGTGGACTGAGGTGTTTGATGTCTTAATGTCACAGTTAATACTAGTTACCTTCTGCTTTTGTACATCATTTGGTCCGATCTTGCAGTATGTTTTTTATTAGATATAGGATCCCAAGGAGATGCTAGCACCCAGCCATCTTTTCTATCGAAATTTTGAAGTCATTTTAATAGCAACAATCCGCGAGTCATCCTTGCAGAAATCGTTGTCCTTTTGCAAGTATTTGTGGTCTATCGAATGATATAATAATAAAAATATATATCAACATATAAACATAAATATAATAAAAACATGATAACGTAATCTTTCATCCTAAAGTTTACCCTCTCTAACAAAAATACTGAAACGCGGGTCTTTTAGTTTTTTACCTAGAACAAAAATTCAATTTTTTTATTTGTTTTATATTAAAAGTATTTTTATACAACCTTTCAGTATAGTAATAATTTTTTTAGGAGGGTGGAATTTCCAAAAATCTCGAAACACGCATTACTTCGTTTTCGACCAAAAGCACAAATATAATTTTTTTAGTGATCTCCCTTTTTGATGACTACATAGTGACTGAGAAACTGTACTCTAAAAGAGTTACCACTTTGAGAGCTGTTATGAAGACTTGTGGGTTTCGGTGAGAGTGAATATTAATGGTAAACTCGTGGACTGCTTGTATACTTGCCCCCTCCAGTAACTAATAGTTTATTAGATGGATTTCTTGACAACTGCAATATTGTAATGCAATCATGTAGTAACGACACAATAATATTGGGTGATTTTAATTTTATAGATTGGATTACCGATGTTACCTAATCCGTAAACAAATTAACCCCTAACAATTATTGCTGTAATTTAGAATTTCAGTTTATTGACTTCTTGTCTTTAAACAATTTATCGCAATTTAATGCTGTGAAAAACGCTAATAACAGAACCTTACTGTAAGTAAAGAATGTCCATGTCCAATAAGTAAAACTGATCGTCTTCATCCTGCTTTAGAGATAAATGTAAATATGTCAGTACCGCATTTGTTGAATAATAAATCTTTTGCTACTCACAATTTTAAAAAGGCTGATTATACTAAAGTAAATTCTAGGTTAAGTAAAGTTGATTGGGGTTTTGAATTTAGTGATTGTCAGGAGGTCGATGTCATGGTATCTAGGTTTTACAAAATACTTTATTCCATTGTTAATGAAACTGTACCCAAAACGAAGCCGCGTAATTTAAAGTTTCCTATTTAGTTTACGCCGAACTTAATTAAACTGATAAAAAAAGAAAAGATCCGATTAAGGCACAAAATTTACAAAAATCCAATAGATACATTAGAACTATCTTAAATTACCGGGTTAAGTCGTTGGCCTCTAAGAATTATTTAGATTATATACGGGAAACCGAAAAATCCATTCAGTCTAATCCTAAAAAGTTTCGGTCGTTCGTCCGTCATCGTAAATCATGCGATTATGGTTTTCCAGAAGAAATGTACCTAGACAATCTCTCGGCTAATAGTGGTGAGGGGATATGTAATCTTTTTGCTCAACATTTTTCATCTGTGTTCTCCCAACCCAAGTGCACTGCAGCTCCTGTATTGTTCGATGTGTATCCACAAAGTTCTTTGCATGATATAAAAACAACAGAACGTAAAATCCTGAGTATACTCAAGTCGCTAGATATCTACAAAGGAGCGGGTCCTGACGGCATTCCTCCTCTTTTTATAAATATGACATCAAAATATCTAACTCTTCCTCTAAAACTAATTTTTAGTGAATCGTTATTAACCAGGTCTTTTCCAACTGACTGGAAACGTTCCAATGTTATACCTATTTACAAGAAAGGAGATAAAAATAATGTTAAACATTATAGACCGGTTTCAATTATAAGCTTATTTCCAAAGATATTTGAACGCTTATTTTATCCAAGTTTAACAAATCATCTAAAAATATTATCGTAGAGACAACACGGGTTTTCCAAAGATAAATCTACTGTTAGCAATTTGATAGATTACGTCATGAAAGTTGCAAGTGCAATGGATGGTCAAATGCAGGTGGATTCCAAATACACAGATTTTTCTAGTGCATTTGATGATCGTGATCATCAATTACTTATATCTAAATTAAATTCATACGGCGTGCATGGGAATTTGCTTCGTTGGCTAAGTTCTTATCTCAAAAATAGATTACAAAGTGTCGTATTGCATGGATATAAGTCTAATGATTATGTGGCTCTATCAGGCGTACCACAAGGTTCACATATTGGTCCTATTCTTTTTTTGGCGTTTATTAATGATATAATTAACACATAATATTAAGTACAGCCACTGTTCCATTTTTGCCGACGATTTAAAATTGCTCAAGGCTATAAAAAACCAGGATGATGTTCTATCTTTACAAAATGACCTTGATGCTATCCATGAATGGTGCAAAAGCAATAAAATGAAACTTAATCCTCGTAAGTGTACCACCCTTAAATTCACAAAGAATAAATCTACTGTAAAATCTTGTTACTTCATTAATAAAGAGGTACTGAGTGAATCTTCATCCACCCGTGATCTTGGGGTCATTCTTGATAACAAACTTAGCTTTATAGAACATATAGATAATGTGGTAACGCGTTCATGGAAAATGCTAGGTTTTGTCAAACGTACATGTAAGGTTTTCAAAAATGCTCAGACTCTGATAACTATCTATAATGCATTGATTCGTAGCAGTTTAGAATATGCCTCGGTGATATGGAATCGAGCATATTCAACAAAACTCGATTCATTGAATATAAAGTTCAAAACTGTCCATACTATAAAGAACTCTAGACTTTCTCATCTTGGAATGAGTTCACTGGCTGACCGACGAAAGCTTTTAGACTTAATGACGCCACATAAACTTCTACACGGTAAGTTAATTTCGCCAAGTTTAATGCAGCAAGTGTGCTTTAAAATCCCCTTTCGTATTCCTAGACACCCAATTACTAATTTGTTCAATATTCCCATCAGTAGAACCAATTAGGCAAGTTTTCTACGTTAAGCAGATGTATGCGAACTTACAACAGCTTAAACAATCATGACATCGACATCTTTAGCGACCCCGAACTTGAATTTAAAAGAAAATGTAAAGACTTACTGTTACCTGCCTTGCCAGACTAAAATCTCTAAATTATTATTTATTGTAATTATTACTGGATGTGGTGCTTTTACTTTGATTGATTAGTTTAATTCCTTTTTGTTTTAGAGTTTATATGTTATTAGGTTTTTTTTTCTCTTATATTGATGTATACACCTTTAAAGACATTTCCTTTATCTAAAAATGTAGTATTTTGATTGTAACAATGTTTACTGATATTGTCGATGGTGTATCTATTTAAGTAAATAAATAAATAAAATAACAGTTTTTAACTAAATGTGTATGAAAGTATATACCTACATGACTTATAAAAAAACATTTCTTTTAATTTTTTGTTTGTCTGCCTGTCTGGCTCTATGTCGGTCTGTCTGTTTGTTCCGTTTAATCTCCAAAAAGGCTTAACCTGCGATAGCTGATGTTATAAGGAGTAACTTGGCTATTTTTATTTTAGAAAAACAATTAGAGTTCGGCGTAAAAAAATCTAAACCCATAAAATCCAACCGTAATAAATTCCATGACGAAATCGCGCGGACCAACTCGCGGGGAACCGCTGGTCTTTATATATAAAGAATACGTGTCACATTGTTTGTCCGCGATGAACTTGGAAACCGATTTTAATGAAATTTTGTATTGCTTGCTACAACTTGGGAGACAGGATAGTTTTTATCCCGATAAGGGACAAAGGGGCGTTGGAAAGGCCACAACAAATTCTGTCTGGCTAGATAGTATACTTTAAATATACTCATTGAAAGTCACTCATGTGTTTGACTTCCAACGGTTCGGAAAGTACATCTGTCCTAGAAAGAACCAGTAAGAAACCCAGGTGGGTACACATACATTATATGTTAAAGAGTAATACCTTATTTTACCATTTAAGGTCTGAATTTTTAAAGATTCCTTCTTAGAGGATGTCTACATAAAAAAAGAAGTTATAATCTCAATTTCATACTTCTACGTCCAGCAGTTTGGCCTGTGTGTTAAATCCTCGTCCAGTTTTGATTAAAAGACCATTAATGATTTTTCTGACCATTAATGATGTTCCTGTTCTTTGATTTGATGTAGTAGGCGCTGCCATCTGAACTGCTGGATTTCACTTGAGGTAGCACCCATCATATTCTTCAGACCTAGCTACGAGTTATTTTCACCTTTTCACTCACCTGAAAAAATACTTGAAACTGGACGATGATGATGAGGTGTATTTAATGTAGAGGCCTTTTTCCCTGGTACAAGACATTTTCCCAAAGAAATCAACTAACTTGCAAAACGCTATTCAAAGGGTATTAGCTTAAAAAGCGATTACGGTTAAAAATAAATACAATTTACAGATAATTATCCTAAAGTTATTTTTTGTTTTATAGTTCTGAACCGTTAATGGCCATGGAAAAATATTGAACTATTTACTTTATTTTATTAAAATACATCATGCTAATAAAATTCAATATGTATTCAATATGTTTCATACAATATGTAAAAATTTTAAAATAACGTAGTGGCAAATAGATTTTGACCGCAAATGGCGTCCGTCTCCGATGATTTATGCGTTCATATACATTGTCCTTAAATCAACCTTTATTACAGCTGAGGGGATAGGCACCATTGTCAAAGCGGTCGGCACTAGCTCAAAGGTCACCACTGCCGTGATGGGCGGCTCTGGCACGGGACCACATACCGCTACAGCAGTAGCCTCAGGTAGAGCAGTCGCTATTGCCACATCAATTACCTATGGCTCGGGATCCTCGACTTCTACGGCAATTGCTTCCGGCACATCAACTGCTTCTGCCTCATCATACTCATACGACCGAGGAGTCGCCACTACTACAGCGATCTCTGCCGGCTCGTCGTCCGCCATCGCCGAGGCTATCGCCAGAGGCGATGAACGCAAAACAGACACAAAAATTAAGGCCTGAACTTATAGATTTATAAAAAGTTTGAAACATCTAATGCGATAGCTTTTAATGAATTTTAAGCCATAAATGTATATATGCAGTTAAAATATGACACTTTTCTTAATACTTTTTATTTTTATAATGGTTATGTTTTTAAACAACGTGTCTTTTTAAGTCTGACCCTGGGACTTAATAGGCGTAGAGCCTTTGAAATGAAAATGATAAATTATTATTTGGGATAGTTGGAATGTAGAGAATCAGCACACACTCTCTTTTTACAGCTCCGGACAGAATATTGGTCTTTATAATAATTACTTCCTGCTCTGAATTGGGTAGCCTTGGGTCGTTGCACAATCGCGGTGCATCAAGGTTTTGTATCAGCAGAACTTGGAAACCAATCCTAGAAGTTGAGTTACTGGACTGCTTAGGCAGTACCATCATCACTAGCCATTACAGTATCTATCGAAGAATAAATCTTTAATTCGCCTAATTTTGTCTCATTACGTCTAATTTTGTTTTTTTACTTTATTAATAGATTCAGTTTTTAGCGATAGAACTGATCTCTCACATAATCAATTTTCGTTTGCATATTATTCATTAAAATTAACAGAACGTGTGCAATCCAATTTTGTGAAATATTGAAACATTCTATCTATAATTAACTTCAACACTTTATCAGTGATTCAATCATTATGCGCGCCTGGTAGCCTGTAGTCGAATTCTTCTGATAATGCATCTTTGTATTTATCCCACAGCTGGAGAACAATCGCAACAAAGCTTAGTATTAAGTATTTAATGCTAATGGGTGTAAAATAATTACATATAATTTTTTTACCATTGTTTATTAGTAAGTAGTTTTGTAAATCATACATAAATATAATACTATTGTATAAAAAGACTTCCTTATTATCCAAATTTTTATCAAAATCTTAAAAATAATTTCAGATTCTTTTGTGTTTAGATTCTCTCTTCACAATCAAAAATTTTCACATCGCCACTTACAATTATCAATTCTTCGACTTGATTTCGACGACTTACTTTACTTAGTGTAATTTATGGGACTGCCTCATTAGTCTAGACTAGTGGTTGTAGTAGCGCGACTGCTGATCATGAAGTCCTGGGTTCGAATCCCGGGTCGGGACAAAAAATAAATAATTATTGAGTTTTTCTGTCAAGAAATTCTTAGTAGCTGCCCGGAGTCAGAAAGTTGGCGGCGTGTCACACCCCTGCCTCGGAAAGCATGTAAAGCCCTTGGTCCTGCAACTTATCTCTCTCCAATCAAATAGGTTTACCATCCCATCGGATTATGAGAGTGAGTGAATAGAGAGTGCACCTGTGCCTGCGCATACCCTTGGGCACTATAATCCTGCCCTGCGCCGATGGCTAGTCTCCGTTGAAGCTGGGCGCCGTGACCGAAATTCGGTCTGGAGGACATTATATGTATATAATTTATGGAAAATACAGTGTGGTGTAAGAGCCACCACTGCTCCATTTCATTCCGTGCGTATCGTAAAGGGGACTTTGGGAATGCCTGAAAATCTTATAGTCACTAATATATAAACCTTAGCATTTGGTGAAGTCAGATGTAATACATAAACTCAACGGTGTCAAAGGTAGGTACGAAAATATCGCAAATGCAAATTCTCCGTAGAATGGGATAGGCTTATGAGCAGTGGACTTTTGAAAGACTCGTGCAGAAGGGTAAGTATTCTTATTTATTAATTGTTGAATCAATTTATTATTTAAAACAGTGGCGTTTGTTTTAAAGGTAAATAATAAAGAACGCCGTATTGCGTGAAAACTAACTAAGAAGCCAAGAACTATTATCATGTTACGAGTCTTGTTTAATACCTACTAACAGTCCTATTATTTACTACTTCCTCTTTAATGATCATCAATGTATTGAGCCCATTATGTAAGATTTTTTTATAGAATAAGGGTGACAAACGAGCACACAGTCCACCTGGTGGTAAGTGGATGCTGTGACCCATAGACATCTACATTTATCCTAGATTAAGAATCAAAATGCGGATGCGTTACCACCTCTGAGGACTAAGATGGAATGCTTCGTTTCCAGTAAAAAAGGGTCTCCGGATCTCTGCAATCACCTTACGAAACACAGCAGTATTAAGCTGCTATTTTACGCTGGTATTCTGTGAGAGTGTGGTCTTTCCCAGGTCGAGCCGACCCATTCGTGCTACAACCATAATATAGCTGCAGCGTGGCTCACGTATAAATAATGATCTCTTAAGCATTCTTTTGAGATCTAAGTTGCTCAAATATGGATTATCCGTTGATATTCAAGAAATATACAGAAGGTCGAAGTCTGCCACAGAATGTTTGGCGTAAAAACACTTTCGCTACTGTTAAATATATCAGACATGTTGTCACATACGGCACAGTAGCATCCTTTTCCACGTCACGCGATGCCTTAAGCAGTAAGTGTGAAGTTTATAACATAGTCAGACCAAATGTGAGATTTAACTGGGTGATCTGAAAAATTTTCGGCCTAACAAAGATACAAGACATTTTTTCTTAAAATTTATTTTTATTTTTTACATAGTCTCCTTGTAACATTACACACTTCTTCCAGCGATGCTCTCATCTCTCTCACCCGTCCAAATAGTACTCGGCCTTTTTTCTCTAATAAATATTTGTTCACGAAGGTGATTGCCTTCTCATTTGACGAAAATCTCTGTCTTTCGAGCGCAATTTTTAGATGAGAACACAAAAAAAAAATTAAAAGAAAAAATTAAATTCAGCTGCCCAAATTCTGACTGGAGGTAATTCTGCAAAAGACTTGAAATTGGATTGGAGATACATCAAAACTGACTGCTCATTTAATTTTAGCCGGGATGCGAAAATGGAAATCAAACCTGCCTGATATAAATCCCTTATTGAGCACAATTCCTCTGTTGATAAAAATAAAGGTACTTGAACAACTCTTTATAAAAGCCTAAAATTTAGAACGGAAAGCAAATTCCCAATTTAATATTGAAATTCCAATTTGTAAAAAAATTACTAAACGCGAGTTTTTGTCTGCAATTACAAACATTTGACCTAACGGGTCTTATCTTATAGCCCGTGTTATAAAAATGTGTTGTTAAAATAGTGCTGCATAAATGTTAAATCATATCATTTATAATTAATTGTCGAGGGATGAATATTTATCGTCAAATATTGCCCAAATTAGGCATGAAATCGTTGAAAGATTGACAGCATTAAACAATATACGCTTACCGGTGAAGTTGTACGCAACTCAAAAACGTAAGTTCTCAACTTACACATATTTACTGACGCTAATGAAAAGGTTTATAAAATCACTGATAGGTACATAATGTTTGGCTAATACTCCTTTTGAACTGACTCAACAATAGTATAAGGATAGTTAAAAATATTGTCAAGCAGGCTTCAAACTTTTGTTCTTAACCAAGTTGCTAGGACAATAACGATGAATAAATACTGAATAAAGTAGTAATTATTCTTGACTCGCCTTAGTTCCAAATGATTTTCAGATTATCTTATTACACATCCGCTGGACTTAGTCGAGTCTCACTTATTTAAAGTTTAACAAATCACTTAGGCTTATATTTATAATGTGGCGAGAAATGCCAGAAGTAAAATCCGTACTCTCCCTAGTTTCATGTTGTAAAAAACTTGATAACTGTGCCCTACAAGCACATTTGTGTGCTGGGTTGGTGGAGAATAAAACACTGACACTTTTTTTCTTTCTTCTATATTTGATGTTTTTCTTGAGAGAGCTGGCCGCCGACTGTGTCGAACGACGAAAATCGCCCCTCTTTTATACTACCTCGGCCGGGTCGAGTAGTACGGCGTGCGTACCGTGTGACGGCGTCGACCAATCAGCGCGAGGCGCTACAGAGCTGAGTTACATTGTTTACCTTAAGCTAGTTATATTATTATACAAAGTGAATTACTAATTCTAATACATGAATATAAGCTTTACACTATTATTTTTCTTAATATAAAATGCTTATATCTTCTCTTATGTGTAACTTTAAACTATAATCACAACATAAACGCTTATATCCTATTTTATGTGTAACTTTAAACTATAATCTTTATTAACACAATATAAACGCTTATATCCTATTTAAGTACAAACTCTAAACTACTATAATATAAAAATGTTCGTCTTATTTAGGTATAAGTCTATTTATTTTCACTTGTCCCGCACATCACTCCCGCCGTGCGACCGCGTCGCATCAGCTTCCGGTGCGGGCTCGACGTCCGTAGATAGAGGCAGGATCACCAGCTTCCTTATTGGCCGGCGTAGGACTCCTCCCTTGGTCAGCACGTCCACTGTCCGCACGATGTTGTCAGGACCCGGATATGTAGCGATGACTCTTCCTCGTATCCACACGTTGCGGGGTAGGTTCGGATCGACGATCTGTACGAGGTCGTCGACGCGTACTGCTTGGCCTCGTCCGTGGGGCTCCCGCCGGTGTTGGAGCTCAGGGAGGTACTCCTTCACCCAGCGTAGCCAGAAGATGTCGGCTAGTCTCTGCGCAGCTCGCCAACTTGACCGTAAGAGGGTGTCTCGTTCGGTGAAAGTGCCTGGCTGTGGTACTCGTCCCGGTCCTCCCAACAAGAAGTGGTTAGGAGTAAGAGCTTCAGGATCCTCTGGACTGACTGAGACGTGAGTCAGCGGGCGGCTGTTGACTGTGTATTCTACTTCTACTAGTAGTGTTGTGAGGACTTCCTCTGTCGGATGACGTTCGTGCAACGTCGCGATGAGAGCGGTCTTGACAGAGCGAACCATTCGCTCCAAGGCTCCGCCCATAAATGGAGCTCCAGGCGGGATGTAGCACCAGGAGATAGTCCTCTTCGCTACTTCTTCTGAGGTCGCTGCGTCGACCGCCCGTCGTAGTTCCTTATCGGCTGCCTTCAGGTTGGTGCCGTTGTCTGACCATATTTCTGTCGGGCAGCCTCGCCGCGCGATCATTCGCCTTATGGCCATTACCGCGGAGTCAGCGCTGAGTGAGCCGGCGACTTCTAGA